CCATAGCAAACGCAGATGTTTAGTTAACACTTTTTCTGTACAGGTTGGGCACCAGAAAGTCCAACAGGACATAGGTCAAGGGCTAAACAAAGGTGACAGTAAATTCATTTCGCAGTTAAACGCAGAAATTTTCTCTTAAGTGGAATGTGCCTTTATTTATGTTTCCATTCGCTTTAATGACGTCTTGATGATGAGAACAGAGATGCCCCCAGAAACATCGGTACGTTTTAACCATTTGACACGGCTGGTAGCCCGAGAGGATTTTATTAATAGTTTAATGCCTTTGCATATGAAACAAGTCGTGATAAAACTGGCTTTGTCGTTGTGATGACCGTGCGCGAGGGATGATTACTCAAGTGGGGGAACTGGAATTCCGGACAGAACGACTCACTTGGAAGTGCTAGGACCATAACAACGAGGTGCCGTTTTATAATATAACAACGCATCAACTATCCCTCCTTGAACATTAAAACCTAGAGGAAAACTGATTCCAAAGTTTTCCCTTGTACAACCAACGTTATTAATTGAGAAAGTTAGCATAGGGAACGGTAGAACATATATTAACCACACATAATAGAGCTTTACATACTAAAATTTTTATCATTAAATAGAAGCTCATCACAGCCATGATGATTTTAATTCTCGATAAAATATTTTAATTGCTCTAATGGCTTAAGAACGCGCGTTGAGGCCATATAGAACCCCAGTTGCTAATACCGAAGTACGACACGCAGTTTTGGAAAATGAGAAAAGAAAATCAGTAGAGAGATGAATTCACTAATCTTTATTTTTGTACTTTGTACAAAAATCTTTAATACGTCCGTTTTATCTGAAGTGTAATTATTCCAATTTTTACAAAAGTGGCGACAAATTTCACGCATTATTTATAGTGTTTCACTTATGAAATATAAGTTTCCTCGTTTTAAGTGAGATATTTTGTAGTTTTATAACTATGATGTCAGACGAATTAGGAACGGAGAAAAATGAATGGAATTCTTGATTTTAAAGCTGTACACAACAATACACATTTATTTCTAAATTATCTTTTATACTGTATACGTAGGTTTGACATGTAGAATGTATATTTTATAACATATCTTGGCACTTTGATCTTATATGGACATATTATACTTTTGCTACAATAAGTTGTTATTGTCATTATTCACTGTGAGACTGAAGAGAACAGAGGAAGAACTGATATTTTGTATTTTAAGGGAGATCCTATGGAGAAGTAAGAACTTTTTATGAAGCCTCGTATGTTTATAGTACAACAGAACAGATATGTAAGGTCTAAGTGTTCATTTGTTAAATTAACTTTATTTAAATGTGATTACAAGTTAGTGCATTAATTTTAATTTATTGTTATTTCCTTTAATTCGTTGTACTTTGTTTTTATTCTAAACTCTTTTCATGTGATTTTATTTTATTTGTTTAATTTATTTAATATATATTATATTATGAGGATGACCCTTACTAGAAAATTGTATTCTTGTCACAAAGTGAGATGGCTCTTTCTGTATCCCCGATGTAAAAATGCGTTGAGGCACAAGCAAGCGAACTCACGTGACCGAATGTCCACAGTCACGCACTCATGAATACAACACGAAGGATGTGGTCCTGAATAATAATACACATTATACCGTCTGAATTCGATTCCCGGCTGCAGGTTGCGTAAACTCCACTGCCGACTGTCTCAACATCTGTTGAGTAAACATGGAAATGGAGTGGTCAACTAATCTGAGTGTGTAGATCGATCAAAAGCTATGTTCAGTTGCGTACACCTCAGAACATTTATACAAATATTGAGTCCTTATATAGCTTACGTGTTCGGAATCTGAAGATAGTTTGGTGCAGTTCGGTTCAAAATGGAAATTACACTTCCATGATGTCCCTTCGACGCCACAGAAAATGTTTTTAAGATTCGACTTGTTAAATTAGGACAGTAAATATTATATTCTTTTTAAATTCGGTGTGGCTTCAACAGCGAAACAGTTTACGACCTACCTTTGCAGAGTAAAGCAGTTTTAACGTTTTAAGCCTACTTCTACAAAATTATTATCTCATTAATGTACATATGCTATTTTTTGCCCTTAAGCTTACAAAATGTGTATATATATATATATATATATTCCTCTGTAGCAGAAAATGTTTTTCTTTCTTACACTGGCCAATTCCCAAATCATATGACGGGACGCGTGAGAAAATTGTGAGGGTCACGTGCCACAGATTGCGATCCTTGTTCTAGGTAATTGTTCGTAAATTCAATGCCTGTACTTACTGGTACTATTGAACTTCAATCTAATTTTCTCCGACAATTACGAGGCCTTATTTGGGGGTAACTCACTAAAAGACGCTGTAATTCCTTTTGATGTATACAACAAAAATGAAGTTCCTTTTTATTGGTTGTTGAAGACGACCGTCTTTTGGTTTCTAGCACCGGGTAATCTGATAGAAGTCTACTGACGTTTCAGAAGTACAACTCAGAACATGTCCATTTTCAATCTCCTCGCCGTGAGAACCTCAAATTCTACATTGTATTTGTCGTCTCCGGTAACAAGCTTAATGCCGATTGGTCGAACATTAGATTTTTTTATCATCTCTTTACTGTGTCTGTCTTGTATATACAAACATACTGGTATAATTAAGTACCATTATTACCATAAAAATAGACCAGTTATGCATTTTACTTAAGAGTAATCCGTTTGAAGCAAGAGTGGAAACTGCAAATCAACTTGAAGCCCACTTTACTCGAACACGTGCACCATCGCAAGTACAACGCAGTTGGATTTAAAGTTGAAAAGTCGACTTCCCGTCAGGTTGTATAACCAACTATGGGAAAGAAAATCTCGAAGAAAGAAATATCTAATTCGTTCAATTAATAACGTGAACTTTACTTGTACAAAAACGTAACCCCAGTTATTTTAGGCGGGATAAACTGATGCAGAAATGGGGTGTGAAAGGGGTGAATGCAGCACCTCCTTCGGTAATCGTCTTCCTCCTCCTAACCCACCACCAGATAACAATCGGATCACCACAGGTTTCGTCGCGTACCGTGAGAAAACGCTTCTGAATGAAGAGCCTTTCCGACGCAAAACTACTGAGCCACGAGCAGCTACCTGAGAATTGGTTTCCTCCATGTATGCGTGTTCAAGAAGCAACGGTTTTTCCAATGAGAAAACTGAAATAGTTTAAGATGAGTTATTATCTTTATGTTTTTAATATCACAGACATGATATGGTCCGTTTTTCGTCTATTCTAAAGTATGTACGTACAACTGAACTGCCAGTTTATAATTTATTTTACATTTCCTTAAATGTTTAGCCACTTTACTGCCAATTTTGCGATCGTATATTGGTAGGAAGGAAGTAGAAAGGACAACGATAAAATCTGATAGCTACTTTGCCGACAATAATGTCGTGTATCGCTGTCTCTGCCTCATTTCCCTTCTCCTTTCAGAACCCGTCTGTTTACGCCAGCTGTAACCCGTATTTACGCTGTACGTCGTCCTTTGTTTGCTGTGAATGCTGTGTACAGTTCCTTTACTTTCACGTCACTCCGGAGAATGACGTTTTCTGGTTTTAGTTCCACCACAAAACCAACAACGAACAGAATAAAATAAAGTACTGGTTGAAGCTGAGACCCACCAGAATTTAAAGTCGGCGCGTCAAAGTTTTCTCTCGTTCCAAGAGCCCAGCGAGTGGCATCTACATCTCGTGTTCAACGTAAATAAATGCTCACTTCACGGGCTCAAACGCCACGGATAGTCATGAGTTAGCCGAACGAGAATGGGTCTGTTCCACGGAATGCAAATGGAAACTGTCCCCCAACACCCCTTCCTCAAACACGGCAACATGTCACAACAGGGTGTTCGGGCGTGCGGTATACAACTGTTCTTGGCAGTTTATAACACGCCATTAAAGTCACCAAGTTTAAATAAATGACTTCACACGGTCTCCCACCCCCTAACCGCAACCCCACATCCTCATTCTGTAGTGTTTATTCGTAAAACACCGCGTGCTTTGAGAAAGGGGTTCCCCAAACATGTCTGACATCCCCTCCCAGGACGTCTACACCCATCTCATGAGCGGCTTTTCACAACTTGTTACGAGGCGGCAACCCTTTTCAAATTCATCAGCGATTTACATCTTAAGTCAGTGATTAATTACTTCACTCAAAGTGTTCTTAGACGGTAGACATACAGGACGAATCTACACGGAGATACAGTCCTCTGTGTTTGGATGCATGAACATTAATACGTAAAGTACATCTGGCAAACGCTCATTTAAGGTAACTTGTCCTAGGCTTCGTCGCTGTTCACCACAGCGTCCATGAAACTAATAAAAAAATGGAGGAGATTCTTCAGGGCGTCCGCTGACCTCACAAGTGTTGCGTGTTGGAAATATTTTGACACATATGAGTACGTTTTATTGTCTGATACACACTAAAACTGGAATGTATCTGAAACGAATTTTTGTAAACTCCCCGATATGCGGAGAGACGTTGTGAGGATGAAGGACCATTTTTGCAGCTATTAGTCTCGAACGTGCCCAGTAACCGAGATTGGGTCTTTGATTCTAATTGGCTTGGATAAACGATTTAATTAACAGTATAATCGAATATTCTATTGTTACGAAGAAACTACAACATGTAAGATTTGAGGTTCTCACAGCGGTGAGTATGAAGATTTCCGTCTTCTGGGTTGTTGCGCCGTGTAGTCTGGTTGATGTTAACCAACGTTTCAGAGGTCATACTGCCTCCATCATCAGGGCGATGAAATCTTCAAACTACAACATGATTGCAAAGAGATTAGATTTCGAATACAGTCACATCTATTTATATCTGATGTTACGCCAGGTAGTCTGGTATAAATTTACTGAAGTTTCAGACATGCTAACTGATTCCACCATCTGGGCGATGTGATCTTAAAAAAACCACTTATTCAACTCTTGTCTCTGCTACTTACCCGCGTTCTGAACAGTGGACTCCCGTTGATTTTACAGCGCCCAGTCTTAGCAACGTGACGGACGAACAGTACTTCCTTCAACAGGATGGAGTACAGGATACTTCGGGAAATCCGACCAATGCTGGCGGCGAGACAACGCATGCTAGAAAAGAGATCACGCCCGGTAAGTAAGTCAAATATTGGTTGTGGGCCCCTGATTGATAACCATTCTCCTAGAACCTGTCAAGGAAATACATTTAAAATTATACTACATCGGTACAGAATATCTTTAAGACATTCTCTATTCTGTTGGTAGCACTGGGGTCCTGCCACAATTCCAGTCATATTTAATTGAAGGAGAATGTAAAGTGTCGACGACAATTTTCTGTATATCAGATTGTTCATACGCGTTTTTTTACAGGATTAAACGCCATCTACAGTAGATATTATTCTGTACTCTTTGCGATTAAAACGTTCTGTAACATGTGATGGGAAATATGGCCTGTTATAAGGAACTTTAAAGATATTGGTTTAGTGAGATTAGATAAACGAAACGGTCTCAGGCTGAGATACTGATCGGATCTCTATGTACGGTTTTTGACACACTGTCGATGTTTCGTGACAAAATTTTAATATTTTTTTTTTCCAGCAACAAGTGCCACTAACAATCACCAGGCCTACATCGGCCTGATTACTGGTGTGTTGGCGATGGTTGTTCTACTCCTGGCGTGCACTGTTGTGCTGATGGTACGCCGAGGACGTAAGAAAGTGGCTCTTCTGCATAAACACACAGCCTTAGTCTCCAGCAGCACAAAGCCTGGAGTAACCATCAATATGAAGGACTTGAAGATGAATATGGCGCTCTCTACACCAATCATCAACAATGGCTTGTCCCGCTCGCGTGTCGCAGCTGCCAAGAGCAAGGTACAAATCCTACCCAAAAGATCAGCATATTCACAGAATTTGTAAATCTGTGAGCTCGGATCACACGAACTTGGTAGCAGGAGTTTTGTGTTTGTTATAGATTATTAATGACGGCTTTTCGTTTCAGAATAAAGTCGCTGGCACGACGACACCTGCAGCTACTGGCAAGGCGAATAACATCTACGGCCACATGGTCGTCGGTGAGGAATCCGAGGACAGCGAGAATTCTTCCGTGTACCACGAGCCGTACAAACTCCTGCCATCGACAAAACAGGAGTACGGCTGTCTACTCAAGAAGGATACGCTGTCATCAAGCAAGAGTGGCGAGTACACTGGTGAGTCACTTCACTGATGATACCCGGGGCGCACCCTGCTTCGTGTTAAGGATGTCCCGGTTTCGAATCTCGGCTCGGGTACCAAGTATTTTGACTGAGGGTTTTAAGCGTCTCGGAGAACAGGATAAGGGTGCCCACATATGGAGGAGTGGAGATATAGTTCCATTCTTTCTTGACCTTGGGAGTGGAAGAAGATGAGTGGTCAGCTTCAAGCCGCGGCCGCTTTAACCCGAAGGAAAGAACTCTGGGACTGTTAGATAGGAGCGAAGAGAGAATTCGAACCATGGACATCCAGCCCGTAGCCTGGTTACTGTACTGACTGAGCTACGCGGATTCTAATTTGTTCGTAGAAATTATGAAAGGTATTTTGGGTTAGATTCACTTGTCATCATTTCTTTATGATACTGTTGATTATTTTAAAATAAGTAGCCTCTTTTCCATTTTTTGCACAAAAAAAATGTAATTCGTAATGTCTTCCGAAACAAACTACGCTGTTTACGAAGTTTGAAATGAAACTGGGAATAGGGGCGAGGGGTTTGCGGAAAAGTGGAGCTGAAAGAAGGAGTGGGTAACTTGACAAGCGACGTTAATTAAACCGAGATTTCACGCCTTAATGAGAAATACTGTCTGAGAAGTATGGGAAGGACTGATTCTGCCTACGTGGGCAGACGGCGAGAGACATGAGAAGGCTGCTGGTGGCAGTACTTGGTGTTCGCGCAGGCCACGGGACAGATCTTAATTGCACGCGAAAGCACCCGATGCTATGTAAAGTGTCAGCTCAGCCGAGTTAAAATCCTTTCTCTTGTTGGTCGAACCCGGTTAAAGCATTGGAGCCAGACATTTTAACTCGGTTCACGTACTCCGTGGTTGTGCTACATGCAATAGATGTGTCTAGAGATTTCGTATTAGCAGCCGCATTGCATGATAAAAAAAATGTCGTAATTCATCATCTGTAGGTGCTCTTATTGATACGTGGTGTAGTGTTTTGGTCAAAAACTACAAGGTGCAGACCTGAGCCATGGAAATGAAGAAAATGTTTTCCTCCGAAACTTTCGCGTACAGAAAAAGTAATAAATGTTCAGTAAACCAAGAGACCACGTCAAATGCAGGGGTTGTTGTTCGATACTGATGACATTATCCGTGGTTGAAATACAATAGTTGAAGTTTTAACAGAAATTATAACTTCTCTCCCTGTATTTTCTTCTGCTGAGATGTTATTTACTTATTACGTCTTGCTCCTGAGTATTTATTGGAATGGACAATAAACGTAATAAAATTACTTTAACATGACAGTCTTTTGTGATGTTGCGCCTTGTGTTCTAATAGAAGTGTAACGACGTTTCGGAAGCACTTGTCACTTCCTTCATCAGGTCCATGTTAATTGCCTTGTTAATGGAGGCAGCAAGCACCTCAGAAACCTCGGCAAATTTCTACCAAACTACGCGGAGTAACATCGCTGAAGACAGCCGGATTAATTCTTGCCATGATAACTTGGAATTTCACCATTTAAAATTACTTACGTCTTATAACAATCTTCTCGTACGAGTATTTTTAATAACAGAAGCAATCCCGAGAGGCTTAGACACTAGTTTGTGCCGCTGATATATCTGTTACATCCATAGACATATTACCAAATGTGTCCAAAAGTAAATGAATCGATCGATATATCGAACTTTCTTGGTATCGAGTAAAAGTCGTTGCCTTCTATTCTGCACAAGATAATCTATAATTACACTTGTTGCTGTTGACGTGTGTAACACCTGTGGATTCTGGGCACCATATATCCATTAAAAAAAATCTAACAGCACTCTTGCTTCGTATTCGGGATGTCCCAGGTTCGAAACTCACATTGAAACTTGAAATATACTTTGTCGCCTTAAATCAGGATTTAAATCTTTTACTGAACTCGTACTTTTTTGGGTGTAAGCTGCCTGCCCTGCTCGCTTGACGTTCTAGCATTGCAATATCCACATTGAAAGTTCAGTAAGGGAGAAAATTATATAACCCAGTTGAATACACAGCGTGTGATTGAAAAAAGTGTGTTACATCCTGAGAAAAGCTCGCCTAAGCAACCTTACACACGGAGGTGAATAGTGGATTTGTGGGTTTGTCGCTTATAAATCGAGAACGGATCCACCGATTTGCGTCAAAACTGGCATGATTATTTTTTGAGACCATGAAGAGATCATATGAGGGTAGAAACTCCGAAAAAATGTCATGATTTTGATTCCCACTGAGGGTTTCTTTCCCCTTAGTTCGTAAACTAAGCACGATGGAAGAATGGGTTTTCACAGTCGCCGTGACCACTCAGACACTTAAAAATTACGAAGATCAATTTGTTAAGGCTGTTTAAAAAAATCACTGTTTACACTTAGAATTTCACGAAATATACATTTTTTCAGACTTATAAATTGTCGTGCAGTTTGGACAGATACGTACCACTAGTGTTTAAAGGTTTAATATTATCTACGACCTACGGGTCGTAGATAATAGACCCAAGCAAGGGCGATGGGTGGTTAATAAAGCACGCAAAATTTATTTATGAATGAATTCGAAAATTTAGCTGGAAATCCTGAAGAGAAGAGACCAGTTATGAGAACTAGGTCAATGCTGGAAGGATACTATTAAATAGATCTTAGATATGACATATAGAGTGTGAACTGCCTGAGTTCGGTAATAATGGTAGGCTCTTCTAACACGGTAATAAACATTTCGGTTTCCGTAAAATGGCTGGATTCCTTTAGCTTCTCAGTAAGGACTGCAGGAGAAATTTAAACAAGTAGTTATTTACGCTGGAGCCTTAACTAGTCCTTCAAGAGAGCAGAGAGTGAGCGGCGTAGAAATAACAAATACGATTTCTATAGGCATGAAGAACATCGGTTACGAACCGCCGATTACATTTCCCTCTAACCTTGTCTGTTCTTTGCTGTCTCCCGCCAGATTTCACGAGTGTGAACAGTTTCCAAGAAGACGTGAAGTTCTCGTCGCCGTCGTTCTACAACCTGACGCCGCCTCCGCCACCGACGTCTCGGCCTCCCCCTTACGAGGTGCAAAATTTCCCCACTCCGACGAAAACCCCACCGAGCAACACACCCATCGAGAACTATTACGCAGCTACGGACATCGTGAAGGTAAGCGTTGGAACCGAATCATCGGACAGACTAACACTGTGTCGTAGATAAGTTATTTCTCTTCGTATCCGCAGGTTAGAGACACTGATGTGCATATAGTTTTGGAAATTTAAGTGAATTGAAAATAACGGGCTACCGGCATTGTAATGGTGTGTGGATACTTCAAGTAAAGAATAAAATATTAATAAGGTATTTGGAATATTTTATTGGTTTCAGACGGAAAGACGGGAACAACATTTCACGCCGGGAAAATTCACTGCGATCAAGATACCGGAGGGTTCACCTCGAGACGGAAGTTCTGCTTCGTTTCTGGAGTTCCCACGACATCGCCTTCGACTTGTGGAGAAACTGGGCGAGGGAGGTTTCGGAATGGTGAGTTACCACTTACGCGAGTCGATTCTCGCTTTTTCTGTAACTAGCTTGTTAATTAAACGGAATTACTCACTTGTTTGCGGTAGAACTGGTGGTGGTAGCTTGCGTCTTCGTAAGTCGTAGAGAAAACTGGCAAAGGATAAACTGAAGTAAACTGTTTTCTGGATATTATCCATCGTACAAGATTAAATAAAATCAATAAAAAAACCACGACGTTTCGAAGATGGGATTCTATCTCCGTCTTCAGGTTAAACCTACTCTGATGGGCCCAATCGACAGAGCTAATCCCTATCTCCGCCTACATGACGGCGACATAACCAGCATCATCAGCCTTACAGCAGTGAAAAGCCTATTTTTAATTAAACCTGCGAAATAATAAACCAATAAGAGCTCTAAATCCGCAGCATCATAAAAGGGAATCCGCCCACATTGTGTGTTGATAGCACGATACTGCGAGTAACAGCCTCTGAGTCGACCTTCGAATGGCCTGTTCTTGCAGGATGAGTGCGATATTATAAGTCGTAAAGTTCTCGCACGCACGGAGCCACAGCTGAAATTATGCACCTGAATAAAAGTTCCACCTTGCGGTTGTAATACATACAGCTCTAACCTTCAGAAAATCTAGTGGCACAGTAGTTCGTGTAAATAGGAGGAAAAACGTTGCAAGTGAGGTTGCCATTAAGCCTTTGAAATGTTTATAAAACAAATAAAATGTTTTTACGCAAAGAGTACTGCCTAACATCCCATGCGTATAACACAAAGAAGTTTTAATACGTTTTCGGCTGGTTTATGAATAATTTACCTCGTCAGAATACGTGAGGAGAGAAATATAAATTATATAGACATTAACCCAGGCATTAAAACTAAAGAAAGTTCTCTTAAGAGACCTTACCCCATTGTCATTACCAGTGAAAACTGAAATAAAATTCAAAACTAATTGTCCAAAATTCCATCTAAGACGTCTTCCGTTTTTCTATAGAAATATGCGTATCAATCAGTTACGCCATTCTGTACCTAAAAACACGCAGTTCAAAGGCATTTAATGAAAAACTAGTAGTTGCTTAGTTGTATACATTTTCAAATTAAAATTATGAACAATTAAAAAGTTATAATACTCATTCGATATATTACGATTACGAAAATTGACTTTATGATCGATTTGAAAGGGTGGGGTTGGACGTAGAAAGTTGACTGACCAAGAACAGTTAGCCTCTGAACGGCAACGTAAAGAACTAAAACATCAGAACTATTTAACAGAAAAGAAAAAAACACTGAAAAACGAAGTATTAAATATCAACAGAAATTGATAGACGAAAGGAGCTCCGAAAGGACTTTATGATGAAAAATAACTCGGAACGATTTGTTAACAATGTGTAATACAGAACCTGCTACCACAGCTTTGGCAAACAATAGGCACTTTGTATAGCCACTCTAAAAAATTCAATTCTTTGTACTTTGCCCCGTCTAGCAGCTTGTTCAAAAATCCCAATTAAACAAACAGAACAGCACGTGATTAAACATTCTCTCATCGGTCTGTGGCTGCATTATACAAGTAGTCCCCCCGTTCGTCCAGTTTGCCGTGCACCAAAACTCCTTTGTTACCATCGCCGAAATAACAGTAGGACTAAATGAAACGCTTTCGACGCTCTGTTCCCCGAAGCGATATCGATTCTCTTACAGGGTTTAGCTGGGGAAACCTTGGTTTGCTTTGCAGTTCCAAACACAGACGAATAGTCCGATACCAGTTTTGACGTAGGAAGTCAAAAACACAAAAGCCCCTTTTGATCAGTGGGGTTGGAAAGGTGGTAAACTTGCGGATCGGGGTTAGGGGGGGGACTTGTGATGTATTTTAGAATACGTCATTCCAAATGCTTTGTAAAGAGCTCTTAGGAGTGGAAACGTGTGTTGTACGGTTTGCCTAATTCTGAGTTTACTGTGTTAAAACTCACTGCAGATCGTGTGTTTGCGTATTATTACGTTACGATTTGCGTGCAGGGACAATCTATACATATTTGCGACAGTGTTATCAAATTATTTTTAATGTTTATTTAACTTACCACTTTGAATAACAGTTTACCATACATGGAACAGAGATATTTTTTAGTCATTTGCCATGAAAGCCCGTAGTTACACATTGATCTCCTTTCGCGAAAGCTAAGGATCGGGACAAAATATTATTATAATGACCATCAAGGACGATGAGATTGGCGAGGTATATAGCACGCATTAGATAAATGAGAATTTCATAGAGAATCATAATCGACATTCTTCCTATGTGGAAGACGTAAGCTTAGATGGAAACATCTTTAAAACAATTATACAATTTGATATCGATGTTGCTTTTCGGGGTTTTTACCTTACATAAGAACGACATCGATACCTTCACACTTACGAGAACCTCAAATCTATTAACTTGAACAGTATTTATCTTATTCAAAATAAGGTCAAGTGATCTGCTGTTGTGGCCATAGTAATGAAAATTTTTTGTTCCATAATAGGTGAGGAATTTATTGACTCAGCTATTCAACAATGATTTTGCTTCATGGAATGATGGCCCTAAATGTTCTGACATGTAGTTTTTAAAATAAAAGTTTAATAGTTTTTCTGACTATGAATTATAAAGAAATGAGATTCAGCTTTGATGATGAATAAAGTCGTAAATTTGAAAATTTAATTAAAGAACCACAGTACGACAGATATACGCAAACAAATGACAATATTCTGCAGTTAATTTCAGATATACGAATTTTCCGTCCTTCAGATTTTGTCTATCTGAAATTTAACGGAAGATTACAAACCATGTAACGTGTACATTTTGTAACATTGAAGTTGGTATGGACTTTCACGTGTAATATTTACAGAGAAAAATACCAAAACTTCTGCTTGTGGATGTAAGATACAGCCTCAAAAGATATAAATTAACACTACTTTTGTAATTAACGGCCTTCAAAGGAACCTGTGTAATCTATCTTCTAGAGATAAATCGGTGAATTCATGGTCTTTGCACGTGCTTCAGACTTAGACGATTCCACATCAAATAGTAAAGGGAAGCTTTAATTCTAACTTTAGAAGGAATCCTTATTTAGTTCCTAGTTGTTACATTCCGTCATGATAGTCGATGTGATTTATTGTGTTGAAAATATAAAAGGTGTGGACTTTCTACAAAGGGATAACATTTGATAAAAGTTCTGCACATATTCAGCGGTATATTTCATGAAGACCGCTGTGGGTGTCAGGCATAAACACCATAGAGCATAACCCTCTTTTACAATTTATTCAACGAATTCCCAAAAATTCACGGAGCCCTAAGGCCTAATACCGTGTTGAAAACAGCCCAAAACACTCACCCCTATCCTGATCCATATGAATCTATTATAAATCCTCATACCTTTTGTAAAAGCCACTTTAATATTATCCTCCCACCTTCTTAATATGGTGTTTCTTTCGGATTTTGTAAGTAGTTCAAATATTACGCGAATATTCCTAATTCTTAACATGGGTCCAGTTGATTCAAAGGCTGTGTCAGATTTGCTTAGGTATTAAGCACTTCTGTTGGTGTTTTTTAAGAGTTACGACAAACGTGTGATATTTAAAAAACTGCCCAAGGCATCTGAAAAATACTTCTTCTTTAATATAAAACCCCTACGTCCTTTCATCGTCCTTCTCTGTTTCATCTGCTGCCAGAAAGCCGCACAAGACACGGGCATAATGCAAGAGACATTTTTTTGTATTTAAACGATATTTCACCAGACGGCGCCAGACAGCAAATGACGGAACAGACATCTTTTTAGAACTTGAATTTAATAAGTAACATTAATCCGATTTGGTTTCCAGAAGTGCAGTAACTTTAGTGTCCTGTTATTGTTTTCGTTGTTAATCAATTTAATTAGATATACATTCAGAATAATACAGGCTTAATAATCGTAAATAATACCAGTTCAAAGAAGAAGAATATTAATATATATTAAGTATATATTAAATCTTGTCCGTCTAATCACAATAATTCTTATTAAATATTAAAATATTACAATAATTAACATTTCAACTATTAAATATTAAAATATTACAATAATTAACATTTCAACTATTAAATATTAAAATATTACAATAATTAACATTTCAACTATTAAATATTAAAATATTACAATAATTAACATTTCAACTATTAAATATTAAAATATTACAATAATTAACATTTCAACTATTAAATATTAAAATATTACAATAATTAACATTTCAACTATTAAATATTAAAATATTACAATAATTAACATTTCAACTATTAAATATTAAAATATTACAATAATTAACATTTCAACTATTAAATATTAAAATATTACAATAATTAGCATTTCAACATCACAATATGACGCAACTTTACCATCTTAAGAATATTAATCTTAATACACGTAGTTATACACATTGAAGATGCAATTTATTTTAATAAAAACCCAAATGAAGAATGGATACACGCATAATATATTATGCGTGTGGGATAAAATGCAGACCGCGATGTTCTTTTGGGCGTATTTGCTTAGGTTATGGTCTTTTAATTAGGGAAGGGAAGGTGAAACTCTACAAGTCCTTCTAAACAGCAAACAATGGTAGCACAAATGCTGCTAGCCTTCTCCGTTGTTCTGTAAGTTAGCTGAGCCCCAGGGTCCAATAAACAGAGCTGGTGACCCAGGAAACCAGCAACGAACAGGGTTCTGCTGTCGTCAATATTGACAGTCGAAGCGAGGCGCGCAAGGCTGGCTCACGAGGGAGATGTAGGAACTTGAGGGCTTCGGGGAATCCCAGAGTTAACACTCACTGCTACCTTCTTGATTACTCTTGTGTACTGTACGTACCAACAGCCAATGGTCATATTTTTCTTAAGTCTAACTTGCAATCCAAGCTTAGTTCTTTGTATCGGCAGTTGTATAAGCTTCGTTGTCTGTGCTTAAACAGTTTTTTCAGCAATGGTGGATAGAACGGACATAGTAAGCACAAACATTGAAGAGATATGAAAATGTTAAATTCGGTGGTTCTGGTGGTACTGATATAAGTTTTAATTAAAACGAAACTGCGTCTTCTTCCATTCACTTGCTACTTCGCCTGTATGGAGTCTTCAGTCTGTTTCTGGTGCTTTCTACTCGTCGTGAGCTGTTATATGTACCACACAATATGACTTCATCGGGTGGTCGTGGGGATGTCCTGGAGAAGTGCTGGAGAATCCTGGAGAATTCCAGGAACATTTCTAGAGAAATCCTGAAAAAGTCCTAGATTACTGTCGGAAATGTCTTTGACATGGAGAATTGCTGGAGAAATTCTGAAATTTGATTTGGAAGTCCTTGAGCGGTGGTGGGTTTGATCAAATGCGGGTCGGTTATTTTGGATTCGTTTAAGTTTGATTGGGATATGTTACATTGGATTAGGTTGCGTTTTGGGTTAGGTTGGGTTGTCCTGGAGAATTTCTATCGTGTTCATTGGGTGGTCGTGAGGATATCCTGGAGAAGTGCTGGAGAATCCTGGAGAATTCCAAGAAAAATCCTGGAGAAATCCTGGAAAAGTCCTAGAGTAGTATCATAGAAGTTATGCGGAAATTCTTTTGTCATGAAGAATTGCTGGAGAAATTCTGAAATTTGATTTGGAAGTCCTTGAGCGGTGGTGGGTTTGATCAAATGCGGGTCGGTTATTTTGGATTCGTTTAAGTTTGATTGGGATATGTTACATTGGATTAGGTTGCGTTGTTTTGGGTTAGGTTAGGTCACGTGAGGTTACAGTGGCGTCCCGTCCATAGGAGCTGCAGACCTGCAGCACCTCCTATAATGTTTTTAAAGATTGACAATTTTAATTTTTGTGTTTATATAATTTGAGGGGTATTTCACTGGTACAGTGCGTATCGGAGCTGCTAGGTTCGCATAATGCACGTAAGCGACGACTGAGTAATTATTAGATGATTATAAATGTTAAATGTTGAAGTGGGGCCTATCTGCAACTACCATTACTATAACCAATAATAATATGTATTATGTGCCTTAAGGGAACAGGATTTAGGGGTGTGAATTGGGGTCATCTGGCTCGGGATATGGACAGCTGGCTTGCTTTTATGTATACGGTAACGATCCTTTGGATTCCGTAAAATTTGGGAAGTTTCTTGACTATATGAGCGTACTATAAGCAACTAGAGGAGGATTCTCCTCCAGGTGCGTATGTCTTAAGATCTAAAGTAGCGCGTTATTAATTATTTCAAATGTAGTCCATTTTCAAGAAGGTAATATGTACGACTAATAAGCCTCAGGAAATGGCATGGTTCATTGACAAATACAGTAAGATGGTGAGATTACGATCATGATGGAATTAGTAGTAGTAATAGTATTGGGCTGTGCCTAATTTGTATAAAAATGTATTCAATTTCTTTCAGGTTCATTTATGCGAAGCAGAGGGAATCCCCGAATACAATGGAGTGTCCTCGTTCCACAAGAAGCAGCTTGTCGTAGTGAAATCCCTCTGGCGTGGGAGTGGAGAAACAACGAGGTGCGTTTTAATTACTGCTTGTGTAATGATCTTTTGGAACTAAAAGTATAAAATGCAATCCCTCCAAAAAATATGAATTATTATTATGTGTATACATTTCGTAACATAAAAATTTTAGTAAGATATATATAATAACGTGTATGTATAATATTTTGTTAACATTTCGCTAATGCATTTTGTGATTCCAATATGTTTGTGCCCATAAATGTAACATTAGAATATTATATAATATTGTTTTAACGTATTTAGTTTCATTTTTCATATACACAATTAACTGATTCGTATTTAAATTAAGATCAACTACTGAAATTATAGCAATTATTATTACGCGCCCTTGGTGTAGTTTTCATATATTTGTAGGTTGCGGTTTCTGAGTCTAGAACAGTTCAAGAACTGAATAACAACAACAAAAGTTTATTTTGTTAGATTTCGTATGGCCGTAACTTAATTTCACAACTTTTTGTTGATTACATTTTGTAGTTTCCTTCTTTGAAAATATCTCGAACGATAAAACTCACGAACTGTTTTCTTGTTTTATTCTTAAGCGGTTTTTCACTTGTGATAACGTAGAAATGTTTCGAAATCTGCGGTATTTGTGTGGCATTCTTTAATTTTAACAACTTGCCAAATATTTTTCCTTCATATACCGGTTTAAGACAACAACAACATATATTTTCGGTGTTTTACCAGACAAGAATTTCTCCGTGAAGTCAGCTGGTTGGCGAGCTTCAGGGATCCGAATCTGACACGCATCATTGGTATCTGCAGCCAGGAGGAACCTCTGTGTGTGATTCAGGAGCACTCAGACCTGGGAGATTTGCCACAGTTCTTGCAGCTTCAGAGTCTGGTCACAGACGACGGCACATCCACGCTCAGGTAGGACAACAACACAGCTCAATGTCTACTGTCTAGATTATGACGCCGTGTAGACTCGTCCATAGATGTCAGTGTTTCGGAGAAACATCGTCTTCATCTTCAGGTCTGAAGTGGCGATGCTGTGGGGGGTTTTAAAGCACAAAGTTTCTGGATGTTCGTTCCCTCGTAGGTGTTGGCACGCAACGTTTCTCGTGTGCCGCGATTGGGATATTATGATTCCCATTTCTGAAGGAACTAATTTCCCACGTTTGTGTTTGACTTTTCTGAAGCTATCACCAAAACAGGGGGACATTAAAACCGTTTGTTCGTATATGATTGTACAAGGTTACAATTTTCGTAATTCGTTTCAGAAAAAAGTTTGGTTATGTCAGCCCTGCTTGTCTTTTAAGTGCCGAAAATAAACTTATTTTTTTTTTTGTACTTCGCCTGTTTGTGTGTGTGTGTGTCATTTCAAAAGTCTTAACTGACATATTATTCTCTTTTCTCGAGAGTAGTATATAATGAATATTTGAAGATGCTCGTGGTTTCTCGAATAAAAATTATATTTACGCATTAATTTTACTACAGAAGAGAGCTGAAAATTAAATAAAATATTCTTAAGTCACCGACTTAAGAATATGATGTTATAAAATTCTACTGAGTCTAATGGAAGGAATACGTAAGCCTGGAGGATGTTTTGTTTAATTCATACGACAGATTACACTTCGCTCCGCCATCTTAACTGGGATCCCTCTTTCGGATGAAGTCGCAACGAGGTGCATAATTCAGCAGTTGTTTTTCTTTTAAGGTAACACGACAGGAAATTGTTAAACAATCATTCCAGCGTAACATAATTTTACTAAGTCATTATGTACACATCAAAGAACAATATGTATATTTCTAATCCCCTCGTATTTTAGACTACACACTATACCAGCGGTTGTATATGGGACTGTCTAACCATCCAGGGGTGGAAACCGCATTAATCAATAAACACCATGGGCAAAAGAGACCTTTTTCCCTTGAAGCAAAGCAGAGAAATCTAAATCCTCTTATGGTGTGTACACGATTACTCCATTTTCAGAGCGGTGCGTTAACTCTACGGTAAAACATAAAAATGCCCGAAGTACATCGTAAAAATATAAACTTCTCGCCAGACTTTTTGTACGCTAATTTGAATCCCCAACAAAAATCTCGTAAAATATATATATATGATTTTAATTATAAAACCTGAGAACCGCATGTGCGGATGTAAGTACAAACCTAACATTCAAATGTATCATAAATATGAGTGGTATTGTGTTGACAGAATTATTCAAATTCGTAATAGGGACCAGTGGCGGTATTTTGTGAACACGGTAACGAACATTCGGATGTCATAAAATGCCGTAAAGTGTATACTGCATCTGAGCGATTATCATTTTCGGGGGAAAAAAGTATTCTGTTTCGTGAAGTTAAATAAGATAAATCTTGCCCAAGACTCAGTGAACACGTAATAAAATAACTACGAACGTCTGTGTTATCCTGTTTTATAAGGTCTGACATCTAAACATTCAGACCGAATTTGCACAAACTGAACTTGAACGAGAGCCTACATGCATATACTTAATCAACATAATACTACCGAGTTCCGCGTATCATCAAGATAAGATCGAAGGCTATAAATTTAATCTACAGAGGACTTTTCGGGTGCTAAATGCCTCTGGAACAATAATTTTCTGGAGATAAATACATCCACAAACATCTGCCGCAAATAGATGAAAGATCCTCGTTAATTAACCATCTACGAGGTGCGATCGGAAAGTTTCAAGACTGCGTCAATAGAGGGCGAACCGGATGTAGTACGAGCTTCTGCCGCTAGGGGGTGCGGCCTACATTCATACTGAATCAGTGTGCCAGCCGGCATCATCGAATTAGCATTTGTTTCTTAGTTACGGGCGTTTTGGTAGTGCATTACACCGACCCTCCTGCGATTTCGGAATGGCGTGTGCATCAAATTTTGCCAAAGACTCGCCAAAACGGCTACGGAAACCTATGAAATGCTAAAGCAAGCATTTGGGGAGTCCGCAAACTTTGGTGTGGCATTCACGTTTTAAAAATGACCGAACCTCTGTCGATGATGACGAGAGTTCTGGACGACCATCTTCGAGCACAACGCCCGAAAATGTTACGAAGATCGACGTCGTACCATCAACGACTTGTGCGACATTGTTGGGACCTGTCAGAAATAGCTGCTCAGAATACAAGTCTCTAAAACAACTACTGAAAAGTTTTGTTTTGACCACAATACAAATAAGAACATGTGGGCTTAAAGTTTCTACCTCGATCTTTATTATTTATAATTTAATCAGCATCAGTTTCTGACCATTTTTAACTTCTTCTCAAATTATTAAATTACGGCGATAGATTCTCAAAAATGTAATTCGCACAAATTTATTTCTTCCAAATTTCTGTGTTTCTTGCGTTTAGATGCAGGTTTTAATTTGTAATACCTCAGGAACTCTGGCCCGCTGTTCGTCATAATTTTATTTTACATGTTTTCTATTCATGGCCTCTTCATGTAAGAAAAATTAACGTAAACGTGGTGTTATACCGTGTTTGAAACAAATACTGGGTCAGTTAAACGAAAGTTTGTGTCGAACGAGCTAAACGCAAACATTTGATCTAATCACGAGAAATCACACCGACGTTTTTAACTTAAATAAACGTTCCCTTTCCTGAATATCGTCTTTAAGTTTCAAGTATCCATTAGACGTCCGTCTGTATATATAGAACAGCTCATTAAAATCCTGTGAAGTCCACATGCAGCCTCAGGATTATTATCTTCGTAATATAATAACAGAACGAGGAGAGAGAAAAATGTGGACTCAGCTTATGGATAACTGCACCTGGTAGCTTTCAACAGCTAGACGTGATTTTCTCTCGGCTTGCCGGCTGCTGCAGCCAGCTTCCTTTACTTATTTTATGGTCTCGGTATCATCGTGTACTACCATTTTACCTTACGTATATCGGGTCACACCACACTGCCTAATCTCATAAAATTTTATGACTTTTTGGGAGGCATGAACTCTGATATTGGTCTTTAGACAGCAGTTGTGATGATCAGACACCAAATATTACAGAAGTCAACAGGACGGAGTTATTATTCTTTAGACAAGAATACGCCTTCCCCTAGTCAAGAAATTTCCAAACTTTTATGGAGCTTCAAGTTTCTTTTGCTAAATACCGCCACTGTATCTTAATAATATTAAATCCATAAATAAATTCTGTGGGAAAAATGTGTAACTACTGAGTTCTGAAGTAGGTGGTACGTATGGTTACCATTGTGGACAAAGGTTTAAAGGTAAATTTAATGATCCAACTAATAACATGCTAGAATAGAATTTAAGGAAAAGATACTCCCATAAAGGGCAGCGAGATCGCTTTGTACGTAATAAGGGGTTTTGTAATATGGGCGTCGGATGTGTCATCTCGTTACGCCGGAGTAAGCCCGCGTGGGAGCAGGTAGGCTACGCTGCACAACACATTCATTACGTGGCCACCCACACACCGTACAATCTTCGACATATTTCGTCCCCCTTTCCTGTGTTCCCTCTGTCTTCCCTAAGAAATTTTAAAACTGCAGTTTTTGCTAATGTTTTGTATGGATGTGATACTTGACTCTGGAATTTAAGGATAGAACACAAACTAATGGTTGTCGTTAGGTTTTCGCGGCTGGAGTTTTTGTATAACTTCCGCTTTCGGCGATGATTGGCGTCGAATGTCGAGAATTATCCAATGTTTCGGCAAATTTTTAAGTTGCCATGTTCAGAGTGTAATGGTTGATGAGCTCGTGACTGGGAAAAGTGGTGATAAAGATGATTATGGGGCATGTGATGAGAACTGGCGAAGGAAATATGGCAGCCATGCGAATCGGGAAACGATTTTCAGCGTCTTTGTCGGTACCCTCTTCTTGTTTGAGGGGATGAGAATTTGAGAGCACAAAGGAATGATAATGACAAGTGAAATTAAATAATTCATTGTTTAATAATATACTACGGGTGCCACGATTTATACTCTTAAAAATATTTTTAGTATGAACAAGTCATGGAGAGTGAGATTGGCGCATAGCACGCATTGGGATGATAAATGCGTATAAAATTGTGGTTTGATAGTATGACGGGAGGATGACGCTCGGAAGACATAAGCGTAGATGGGAGGATAATATTAAAATGGGTCTTAAGGCAGTAGTGTTGGGTATGTGGATTGGAGGTGGATAAGGACCGGTAGAGTGGTAGGTTCTATAAAGGGCTGGAAATTTCTTGACTAGCTGAGCGTACTGTCAACGTTTCAATGACTGTGCTCCATGAAATTATTGGTGCACAGTATTTCGAGGGTTGAAGAAAGATTCCCTTCTGGGGTAATGTAGTTTCACCAGAGACTGTACGCAAGAAACATCTCTATAATAACGTTCCTTAGCGAGTCCTTTAATTTCATTACATTTCATATCCTTACCTATCGTAACACGTAACTCAGAGTTTATTTCTGGGACATAAACTCTCATGTTGTGGCCGCCTTTTCGGTTTGAAACCAGTTTGAAAACGGTTCAGAACAGCGACCAAGCCAGAATGTTTATAATTAGTAGAGAGAGAGTAGTTAAGGCTAGTGAGAAAGAGAGAGACGAATTATAGTCTAGAAACGATTACGTTGAAATATTTCGGGCTCCCAAGGGAATTTGTACTTCAGGTGTAGTGGGAACAAGATGGGTACTGTTTTTACGACCATCCTTCTTACGAGGTAAGGCCTTGCGGCGTGTGGGTTAGTCGGGATGAATACACAAACCTCCGTTCGCGTAGTCGGTGACCCCCGGGTCACAATCTAAACTTCTGCCCTAAGACGAGATAACTGACCAACACGAGCGTTACTGGATCAAGAACTGAAATAAGGGGACGACATTCAAATCTGAGGCAACTCTCAATGCAATGTACGAAATAAAAATGTTAAAATATTCAAACTTGCAACTCTGCTAACTTGCCTGTCGTGCGGAAGCCATGACATTATTTATACTGAGACGAAATGACGTACAATCACTTGAAAATCTGTTGAATAATTATTTTGTCATAAATTTCAGCAGCGCTCTGAGGATAATAGTGCACTGTAGAAACTGTGAACAATGAGGGCTTGGCGTATTTTAAAGTACTGTCGCATTTTCTGGTAGCGACGTCCAAGTTTTTTCACGTTAGAACTTACGCGCCGTGTTTGCACCTGGGACTTTATGCCCTAGCTGCTGTCTCTAGGACGATGGATAGGCAGGGGCAGGTTCTACCTGGCTAAAAGACGCATGGGACGGCTCGTAATGTGCTTTTATAGCCAGACCTGGAAGCACCTATCTTAAGCCATGTGCCTACCAGCCAGATGCTGTCGTAAAATATTTCCGGGCGGAGAAGGAATGGCGGAAGTGGGAGAGAGAGAGAATGATGGCGACTGAAAAGGAATGACGCCGAAAAATTGTCCCCGTCCGATAGACAAATAATGGAACTTATGGGGTACATGGGCAGGTGGGAAATACGTGGTTTTCTATATGAGCATCACATTCGAAAAACCTGCTTAATCATAATAAAAGCTTCTTTAATGCAGGTCACGTGTCTCAAGCAGTGGTATCTCTACTTTAATGGCTCAAATGAAATATATTTAGTTCCAGGGGCATGATATTACCACTGACCCGACCTCCATGTTTCAAGATTTCCTCCTCTTGAATCACCTCCGATAATAACATAGAATTTGCTTCTTTGTAACAAACAGATCTCTGAACTACGAATAATTGATCTTTCTTTGCTTTTAATTGAAATTAATGTTAACGAAAAGGAAAGATATTAGGTTCTCACGGCGTCGAGTATGAAGATGCCTGTCGTATGGATTGTTGAATCATGTAGTCTGGTAGACGTTTACCGACGTTTCAGAGTCTATTATGGTCCTTCTGATAGAGGCAGCAAGCACCTCTCAGACGTAGGTAAATTTATGCCATAATACACGGCGCAACAACCCAGAAGACAAGCCATCTTCAAGTATGTTCTTAATCAGAGTTAGGAACTGTGGTAATCTTAAATTGTGTACTGGATAATACGTGATTGTCATCTGGACAGGATGTGGCTGGTGTCTAGAAATTTCTTCACCGTGTGTCTTTCTGTATTTCAGTTATGGTTGCCTCATCTTCTTGGCGACGCAGATTGCTTCCGGCATGAAATACTTGGAGTCACTGGAGATGGTTCACAGGGACGTGGCGGCGAGGTCAGTCGATCAATTCTCATATTTCGCATTTCTGTTACAAATAGGCACTCTACGTGATACATGGACGATAGTTCTAGCTTAGTTTTTTAAAAAAATGTTCCATTCGAGTGAAGGAAGTGTCAAAAGAAATTCTTTTCCAACCAAAATGTATAAAGCCGAGGTTTTATAAAGATTTTACTAGTAATCAGTTGATTATAAATAAAAAATTACGGAAATTTGGGATAAATAAACTGTCCTTCTCGTCACACTTGATTAATTTTAGATGTATTGCGTACTGCGTTCTGTACCATCCTGCATAGGAAGTCATTTTGAAATTCATTTGCGATCATATTCATTTTAAAGCTCTGCAGAAGATATACATCAAATTTTCCTAGCCATAATCCTGTATGTTATTGGGCCACAGACGGAGTATTCGCTGTTTGAAGTGCAGGCTTCCATATTTCGTCCCACAAATAACATCTCGGAAGCATCCTATTCAGGCACTATGTCCATAAAACACGCGGAGCATCGGTATGGAGCATCTTGCCTTCTTAAATAAGTGCACTTCCTTCAGTGTCGTATAATATAAAGGACAAAGTCACGCATAAAACGAGTCCTTGAAACTTTCAGCAGTGGCGTATGAAGTTTTTATGGCTTGTGAATAACTCCAGCGGTTATACGACCATGAAGTCGATTGATCCATCGCCTTGGGTTGGCTGTTTCACTCTATTCGGTGTCGAAATGCTTCTCAGTAATATTACATTTGAAAGTTTAGTTTCAGATAGAGCAGTCAGGAGTAAAATTTAGTATCGTCATTCAAAGTGCGCCTTACTTATTGATAGGGATATAACGTCTTATCCCGGCGAAGAAGATAAAATTTAAAGGTCTTACGTGAACTATTTATACTTCGATGCACCGATGATCTCGAGTCTTAAGATTTCGATTTCTACAAGCTCGATTCTAATGAATAGATTAGGTTAGGGTTGATTAGGTTTGGTTTCGTTATGTATCTTAATGATCATCCACGTCTCTGAATACGGTGTCTTGACATTGTTCGTTGCTACATTTGTATACGTCATGAAATTTGGCGTCGAATTACCAGAATCTTGTACAAATCTTTTTTTGGCGTCACAAATATTTTATAAACTGTGGTCGGGGCATTATACTTTGCAACCCTTGGCGTCGTGTTTGTGATATCTCCACTACATCCAAAGTATTTCTACTCTGGACGTCGCGACGCTTCGCGTTGGTTTCCTAACTTCGTGTCCGATGGCATTCCGAGATTCATATATGCCAACTACTTTGGTATATTCCATTCTTCTGTCGTGCATAGCTTTTAAGCTACGGGTAACGCTTTCAGTTGGAATCGAACACAGGACACTTTATCTGTAGTTTTGATCATTATAGGATTCCTTCCTGATCTTAAGAAATAGGCATGCCACGTTTAGTGTGAGTATGATCTTCGAAAATGATGAAATATATACTTCATCCTTAGCAATTTCTGCCTAAACCTGAAAGAATTAATGAAACCTCGTGAAATGTGGATTTATCTTCGTGTTAATATATCCGGGTTTTTTTTGACGAATCACTGAGCAACATTGATCATCGTCATTGTAGGAAATTATGAACAAGTCTCAAATTTCGTAATTTATTTTTCGAGATGAAATTACGGTTTTTCCGTGGTTAAACTTACGTGAAAACAAGACTAAATTAACTGTTTCAGAGATCGTTCTGTTAATTTTATTTTCTTCTTTCCCCCCAAGCAAATGAACAGAAGAACAACGCGGACCGCCTAGAGTCAATACTGTGATTAAGTATCCCGTTTCATAGGCACGCGATAACAAGCCCTGAATTAGCTTTCATTTCACGGTTTGTGTCTTGGATTTACAGAACGAAACCCGATGCGCGCACGAACGCTGTAAATGCCCACTGTTCAAATATATTGATCTTTAATTCAATCTCTGCACGAGGCAGCCTCTCCACGTGGTAGTATACGTTGGCTTGTGTTATTTATTAACCACCGTTTTATTTTCTTTGCAATAAACAATTTTTAGTCAGCCCTGCATTATTTATAATATTAATATAATATTTTTGTAAATTATTTAAGATGTTTTTTTGCGTGCGTGGAGATAAAGACGCATCATCGTGAGAAAATATTATGGTTACGTGTTGGTAAATTTCCCAGCAAGCCGTCCGTCCGTCTCATCCTTAGTGCACAGTTCAAAACGTCTGTATGAGATAGTTTTTCCAGCACAAATCGCCATCTTAGTTCCTCACTGCATTGCTTGTCAGTACAAATCATACGGCTAAGACAAACGAACTTGTTCTTTTCCTTTCTTGGTTCTTTGTAGTTGTTTCTTGTATCACCGTTCTGTGATTTTTTAGGCACGTTGAAGGCTGAAATATTCAAAATATATGAGCCCATTAGTTTCACAGTATTAGCCTGTTCCCATGTAGAAATTGGAGAATTACTGGATCGATTTCCATCAAATATGATACTGAGAGTTGGCCAAACTTTGTCGACACATTCAATTGCTGGTTAAGATCCTACACGCGTTTATGCGCTCGGATGTGAGAATTCCAAGCCACACGTGGGATAATAGCGTGGTGACGCCATTACCCAGCCATTCAGGGCCCACATACTACTCCCTCGCAGATGCCATTGGTCCCAGGAAGCTCTGACGTCACCGGTGCTCATTTACAGAGGTCAAAGTTCGTAGTTTGACGGAACAAGCAACCTCGCCTAATTATTTTAGATACAATTAGATATCATTCACGAATTGAAAATTTGCAAGCAATAGAATTAACGTATCAGAATTTTTAACTTGACTTTGCATGCTTTTTTCCCTGTATGGTACATAAGAAATTCAAAACTCTCTTACTGCTTAATTACACATACTTTACATTGGGCATGGATAATATAGACAAGTGGACCTCAGCCTTTTTGTGCCTACAGGCACATTTGAGAGTTTGTGAGATCGTGGCGGGCACCAACCGATTAACAAAGCCAAATTTTCTTCTCTCTGGACAAATAAGATACGGACACCAAAAAATACGTAAAACAACACGCCGTTTAATGATACAAGAAACCATGCAATCAAAAATACGTACTTTTATAAGTACAATTATTATTATTCACGTGGGAATTTAGTGTGATGTTTGGCACTGCATTTCATCAGCCAGTTTTTCAAATTTGGGAGTGTAGGATGATGTTGCTACTCGCAAACAATCGTAAAGATGGGCATTATTAAGTCGAGATCTGTGCTTTGATTTTATAACGTTCATGGTTGAACGGCCTTCATTATTCAGTATAATCTCTTTCCGTATCAACGCGGGCACCCAAAAAAGCCTTGGCGGGCACCGCGTTGGGGTCCACTGTTGTACATTATTTCGCCCTCACATCCTCATAACAGTAGTTATCAGAGTGATTAATCTCTTGTCACATTGATGTCGCTGTTAAGCCAAGGTCATGACAAAGTCAAGACAAGATCGCCCCAATAGTTTGCCAGATAGGGGTCTTTAAAATTCTCAAGGTCATATGTTTCACGCTTATTTGTGCCAAACCGTAAATACCTGATTAACAATATTCATGTCAAATTGAGGTCACGAATAGGTCAAGGTCATATGGAAGCTACGACAAAATCGGCCCAATAATTTCGTCGATACAATTCATATTTTCTCAACGAATATTTATGCCAAACCTTAAATACCTGGTCGACCATACTCATGTCACAATGACGTCGGGTATAGGTCAACGTCATATGGTTGCCACGACATAATCGGCCCAATAGTTTCCTAGATACGGGGATTCAAAAATTCCCAAGGTCATATCTTCTCACGATTATTTCTCCCAACCCTTAATTACCTTGTCGACCATACTCATGCCACAATCAGGTTAGCTATTGGTCGTCATATGGATCCCTTGACAAAATCGGCCCAGTAGTGTCCTAGTTACAGGTCTTCAAAATTCTCAAGGTCATATCTTCTCACGATTATTTCTGCCAAACGTTAAACACCTGGTCGACCATACTCATGTCAGAATGAGGTCACGTATAGGTCAAGCTCATATGGAATCTACGACAGAATCGTTTCAATAGTTTCCTAGATACAGGTGTTGAGAAACTTCCAAGGTCATATCTTCTCACGATTGTTTTTGCCAAACGTTAAATACCTCGTAGACCATACTCAGGTCAGGATGAGGTCAGATATAGATCAAGGTCATATGGATGTCACGGTAAAATCGGCCGAATAGTTTCCTCGATACGGGGATTGAAAGATTCTCAAGGTCATATCTTCTCACGATTGTTTTTGCCAAACGTTAAATACCTCGTAGACCATACTCAGGTCAGGATGAGGTCAGATATAGATCAAGGTCATATGGATGTCACGGTAAAATCGGCCGAATAGTTTCCTCGATACGGGGATTGAAAGATTCTCAAGGTCATATATTCTCTCGATAATTTCTGCCAAACCGTAATTACCTGATCGACCATACTCATGTCAGAATGAGGTCACGTATAGGTAAAGGTCATATGGTGTATACGACAAAATCGGACCAATAGTTTCCTATATACGGGTCTTGAAATATTCTCAAGGTCGTATTTTCTCACGATTATTTCTGCCAAACGTTAAACACCTGGTCGACCATACTCATGTCAGAATGAGGTCACGTATAGGTAAAGGTCATATGGTGTATACGACAAAATCGGACCAATAGTTTCCTATATACGGGTCTTGAAATATTCTCAAGGTCGTATTTTCTCACGATTATTTCTGCCAAACGTTAAACACCTGGTCGACCATACTCATGTCAGAATGAGGTCACGTATAGGTCAAAGTCATATGCAATCTACGACAAAATCGGTCCAATAGTTTCCTAGATACAGGTCTTCAGAAATTCCCAAGGTCATATATTCTCACGATTATTTCTGCCAAACGTTAAACACCTAGTCGACCATACTTATGTCACACTGAGTTACGGTATTGGTCAAGGCCATATGGATGCCACGACAAAATCGGCC